GGTGGATGAGGAATTGGTTGGATGGTCTTATCCAGAGGGTTCTGGCCAACAGCTCAATGTCCAAATGGAGATCGGTGACAAGTGGTGTCCCTCAGGGGTCCATACTGGGACCAGTACTGTTTAGTATCTTCATCAGTGACATAGACAGTGGGATTAAATGCACCCTCAGCAAGTTTGCAGATGATACCAAGCTGAGTGGTGCAGTTGACATGCCTGAGGGATGGGATGACATCCAGAGGGACTTGGGCAAGCTCAAGAAGTGGGCCCATATTAACCTCATGAAGTTCAACAAGGCCAAGTGCAAGCTCCTGCACCTGGGTTGGGGCAACCCCTGGTACCAATACCAGCTGGGGATGAAGGGATTGAGAGCAGCCCTGCGGAGAAGGACTTGGGGGTACTGGTGGATGAAAAGCTGGACGTGAGCTGGCAATGTGCGCTTGGCAGGCCAGAAAGCCAACCGAATCCTGGGCTGCATCAAAAGAAGCATGGCCAGCAGGTCGAGGGAGGTGATTCTGCCCCTCAACTCTGCTCTGGTGAGACCTCACCTTGGGGTATTGCATCCGGCTCTGGAGCCCTCAGCATAAGAAGGACACGGACCTGCTGGAGCGGGTCCAGAGGAGGGCCACAAAAATGATCTGAGGGCTGGAGCACCTCTCCTGTGAGGCCAGGCTGAGAGAGTTGGGGTTGTTCAGCCTGGAGAAGAGAAGGCTGTGAGGAGACTTTATTGTGGCCTTCCAATACTTAAAGGGGGCCTATAGGAAGGATGGGGGCAATCTTTTTAGCAAGGCCTGTTGTGACAGGACAAGGAGTAATGGATTTAAACTAAAGAAGGATAGATTTAGACTGGATATAAGGAAGAAATTTTTTACAATGAGGGTGGTGAAGCACTGGAACAGGTTGCCCAGAGAGGTAGTGGAGGCCCCATCCCTAGAAACATTCAAGGTCAGGTTGGATGGGTCTCTGAGCAGCCTGATCTAGTTAAAGCTGTCCCTGCTCCCTGCAGGGGGGTTGGGCTAGATGATCTCTAAAGGTCCCTTCCAACCCAAAGCATTCTATGATTCTATGATTTCTCAGTTGGGCTGGCAATTTTGATGTGATCTGAGAAGTCAAGGATGGTCCTGAACACTGGCTTGTTAAAGAGTGGCCCAACAACTAACCAACTCCAGTTCAAATAGGCCTAAATTTCTTTTCCACTGTGAACATCAGAAGCCGTGTTTAACTATATGAAACAATAGTGAGCTGATGAATCAGTCTCAACATACAAAGGCTCTTTATAGGCAGCAGGCAAAAGGTTTAATGAATGCAGAGTAGGAAACAGATCCAGTGATTTTAATCCCCGAAGAAATACATCCCTCATTGAAGCTGGTGGGGAAAGAGCCATGATGCTGGTGAGAGGTTTCTCTGTTGATAGTGGAGAGCCTGTGTTGGTACGTGGTCCCACACGGTGTGTGAGAGCTTGGAACCTTTTTCTTGCAGATCAGTTCTGCCTTGACTTGTGGTGGTTTGGTTTTTTTTTTTTTTTTTAATGCTGCTCATGTGACCCCATATCAATTGTTATGGACTTCTTCCAAAGGGCTGCTTGAATACTGCATGGATGATACCTACCAGAAGATGCTGAAACTCAGAACATTGTGTATCAAAGTAGAGAAATGTTAAGACCAATTTACAAAACCAATAAGAGGTAGCGTATTTGGTATACTCTGTAGTGGTATGCTTCAGCTGAATTGTTTTGAAATGTGCATTGTGAGCCAATTTTGTAGCTAGAGCAGTTTCCCATTACTTCCAGCCTGAGGTCACATCATACTTTCTTACTCTGCAGATATCAGGACATTTCCTATCTGTTATCTTTTCAAAGTTTCAGACCATAGAGGACTTTATATGAGCTAAAGAATAACCATTATGTTGTAGGTAGAGGATTGCTCCCTTAAGACTGTAGTAACCTGTTCCCTTACTTCTTATCTGTAAAGGTTCTTGTTTAGTAGCTGTTAGAGATGAGAATTTCACAGCAGTGTTTGTTACTTTTCCATTTCTTAAACCCAGGATTAGTCTCATATCTTACTCTCACTTAGGTAACTTTTGAAAGCTTTATTTCACCCTGTGCGGTCTGAACTATCTATTTTCATACAATAAGGACATCACAAGACAAAACTACTACTACATAGTATTTACTGAAGTGGCTTTTGTACGCTAATTGTTGAAGTAGAACCCTACTGCATTCATTAAGCAAATCTTTGATAGGCAGTTACAAAGAGCCAACACCATATTGACAACTGCTTGAATGGTTAATCAAGATAAATGTGACTTGGATCATAAGAGGTGATTAAACTTTATGCATTTGCAGGGAGGGGTACAAAAATATGGAATATGTAGGCATTATCTCAGTGGGTGCTCTTGATCAAAATAAAATAGTTGTACACAAATGAAATACAGGTGATCGGATTCTTTGTTGGCAGTAATGGTCATGGTAGGATGAATAGCCATTTCTCTGCTAGTTATCAAGTCTCTGAGCCTGAGGTATATGAAGTTCAAATATTCCATATGGCTACTGTTTTTACTCCCTGCCCCCAACCAAAACTAACCAAAAAAAAAAAAAAAAAAAAAAAAAAAAAAAAGGCAAAATAAGTCCCACAAAAAGCCCTCCAAACCCTAGAGGCTAAGCACTAGAGGAATTAACAAAGAAATACTCTCCATCTTACTCGGAACTCTTCTTTGGGATTAGTGAAGAGTAGATCTGTAGTAAAAACCAGCCATGCATGCTTTACTTTTTTAAATTGCTGAGCTGCTGTTGTTCAGAATGGTAGAAGTCTTCAAGAGAGGATTTTAGAAAGATAATCAAATGTGTGGAAAAGTGAGAGACACTAAGTATCTTTACAGAAGGAAAGGCTGTGGTTTGTGTGTTAATAGACCCCAAAATACTTGTATGGGAAAGGGATCTGTCTTAAGTTGTCACTGGAAGACAAGTCTGAGGTGGGGCTTGTAGTCAGGAAACAGAAGCATAGGAAAACAATGTATATCCAAAATGAATTTCTTATTTCTTTCAGGCATCACTTTTTAGATTGAGATTTTTGTCTTGGGTCTCACAGTTTGACAGTCTGGCAAAGAACATGAAAGAGCTTTTGGGAAGCCTTGACGTTACCATAAAAGCTGACTTAGATTTTTTTGTTGTTGTTGAAGGAAGTTATCAGTTGTTTTCTGTTTTCTCATCCGAAGCCATAGATGCAGTCACTTGTTGGCAAAATATTCATTTATATTGCTATTCTCTGTTTTAATATGTAATAAAATTGTAAATTTCCAAGTAAATTGTACTAACTTGGAACTAAGTTTTGTATCTCCTGTTTAAAAGGAGATCTATTGCACTAATACTGATTTTATTCAAATCAGCTTAATTATGCGGTTGCTCAGATTCTAGATTTTATGGGGACCTTCTTTGTCTAGTTTCCTGTGAAAACAAGGCTCACGTGATCCTTTGTGTGTGGGCCATGTGTGTTCACATTCATCTCCAGTCAAATTTTTTTTGGCCTGTTGTCTAGTGTGGACAATTGTGACAGATAAGGATCTTGAGGAAACAGAGTTGTCCAAGAAAATGTGGTTCCAAGTTTTATGAAAATAAATAGCTAATAGAGGGGAGTAATTCTGCTCATGTCTTTGTGGGGAAAAATTTGCGGTGCATGTCTTCCTAGAAAATAAAGAGGAGGAAAAACGGTTACGAATGCCCAAGCTTCAGGAGGTCCTTCCTTTGGCATTTGCACCCTCATGGACAGCAAACCGAGTTAACTGCAAGATGTGAAAATGCAGGTTCTGGTGTTCATAAGGAACTGTTATAGGAAATTAAAAACAAGCTCTTGGAACAGTATGCAGGATAGTTAAGGGCGAAAAGAAAGCGTCCTGACTTGTTAAAATTTAATTTAACTGATCACTTCTGATCATGTTTTTGTTTCTGTATTAGCGGATATTGTCCTCTCATCTAGTTTCTGTTCATAGATGGGAACTTCCTCACAATCCCAGTAGTATTTTGAACGTCCTTTTGAATTCTGATTTTTTTTTTTGCTCTTGTTCAACAAAACAACAACAAATGAAGAGAAGTAAAACTTCCCTACCTTAACAAAAAGGTGGACAAATGGTGTGGTCTGAACTGCTAGGGACAACAGTAATAGCTTCTCTCAGTTGTTTTCTTTCAGGAGTTTGGAAAACAATGTAATGACCTTAGTGGATGAGCTAAGTAGCTAGATTGAAGTAAGCTCTTGGCATCTGGGAAACTGTTTAAACCATATTGTGCGTGGTTTTTTTTTTTGTTTTTTTTTTTTCCCAGTCTGTGTTAGTACTTCTGTTTGGGGGCTTAGTTTTGCTTTTTAAATTGTTTGCTTTTTCAGAGATTGGTAACTGCACATACCACCTCCACGTGCCCCCCCCCACCCCCCCCCCCCGGCCCCCCCCCCCCTTTTTTTTTTTTTTTTTTTTTTTTGTTAAGGCATTCTGTTTTGTTTCTTTCAGCAGCTTAGAAACCTGGTAGAGAAAGTAAGGCCCACTGGTACCTGTTTCAAAGGAATTTTGATTTTCAGTTAATACTGAATTACACCTCTAGAGTAATCTTTTAAAGAAAATGAGGGTCAGAACTGCAGTCCTAATATATGATCCAGGGGGGGAAGCTTCTTCCAACTCCTTATTCCTCGTAATTATTAATTTGAATTTTAATAATTTGTAGCTGAAAATACTAAGACATTGCATTTCTAATATTTCTTTTCTTTCTCTTTTAAGACAAGTACTGAAAAATCTGAAGTGCTCTGGTATATACTTGATCCATTCCAAACATATTCTGATAATTTTGTTTTAATGAAAGCTTTCAAGGAATTATCAGCTCTCTAATTGGAACTTTAATTTATCTTTAGATTAAGATACAGTCCTTCAGCATGTTTGCATGTATATGTCTAATTTCTTTAAAATGTATGCTGAAGAATTCTTCAGTGATCCGTTTTGTATATCTAATGCTTTTGTTTCAACAGGTAGCATTACTGGGACTAGATGTTTTAGGTGCCTTTGCTGACAGACTATCAGGACGCTTTAAATCCTATATAGGAACCGGTAAGTGAAATATAACTTTCTTAAGACCAACAAGTAAAAGACACTACTTTGTTTTTTCCTCTCCTCCCCTAGAAGCTGAAGTGGAACATGTTGAAAGCTTTCTGAGCTAATTGTGATGTCTTGGTAGGCATCTTATTGCTGGATTGGAATTTAAATAATTTTATATTTATCTCTAAACATTCATTTGTCATGCAATCACTGATTTCTAGGTGGTGGTTGGGATTTTTTAAAGGTTCCAGGAATATCTTTTCAGTGTTTAGTTTTACGCTATATAGTTGCTTACCACTCCCCAAGACAGTCATCTAAAAATTACATTGGAACGTGTTACCTTTAACTTGTGTTAAAGATTGAAGGTTTTATTTGCAGATCACTTCAATAAGAGCATTACGTCTGCTGAAGCCAGTGGTCTCAGAGGACTATGTGGTCTACCTTGTGTTAGATAACTGGACTGTAGCTTTTAGCATTCTAAACCTTTTTATGGGATGATAAAAAAAGGACTAACTGTTACTCTTGTGTGAAATGTTTACTCGAATGAATTTCAAATTAATGGATCTACATGTGCCTGAGTATGAAACAGTTGTTCTGGGAAGTACGAGCAGACTATGCTGCTCAGCTCATTTTGCTGTTGTCCTTGAAAACAGGTAGTGATACTAGCACATTAACATTGGTGTTATATCACTGGCTATATTTAAAAGAAGTTTCTAGCTTAATGTCCTTTTCCAAAATTTGTGTGAATTATCTTGCATTTTGTTCCCACATGCCCAGCTATCTCAAATTGTCAAAATGTTAAGCTTCCTCTTCTTTACATGTCTCCTTTTGTATTTAAGAGTTAAGAAATGGGCAAAATTTGAAAGTTTAGGAATACAAAGTATAGTTTATGACAAGTTACTACCTAAATTCATTGAAAGCATATTTCAGGATGCTGCAAAACTACTGCAATAGTGCACTACAGAATTTAAATCTATTTTATTGCAGAGTGTTTTTCTTTGGCTGGTTAGTTTTGTATTGGAGCAGTGTAAGGGAACTGCAGTGTGTTGTGGTATGCAGAATATTGATTTCTGAATAGTCTCCATTTGGAGCTACAAACAGTGCTAGGCTTCAGAGTGTTACTCTGTTTTGATATATATTTTAGTGGTGTGTAGAACTTAAGATTACAGCCACTTCATTAAAGGTTGGAAAGCTTATTTAATTGCTTCTGGTTTTGTTTTTTTAACTGTAAACTATTTGAGAATAGTTTGAAAACACTATTTTTTTTTTTGTCCCAATATTTGAGCAGTTTGAGCAAATTAAAGATTTAAATTTCAGTACTCAGTAGCATTTATATTGACAAAAAAAAAAGAGTACTGGCACTGGGTAACCATCGAACACGTGTAACATCAAAAGACATCTGAAGTCTGTATTCCAGAAGTACTTCTTTTAGAAAAGCTGAGTAGTAGTGCCTTCAACTGAAACTGGTCTTCTGAGCATCTCTAGAATCAAGACCTGTAGAGTGCATTATGCTAAATATGCAAGTCACTGTTGTGTATGATCAGCTCTTATATAAGCTTAACAGACATGGAAATGTTAGTCTCAGTAAAGGCAGAAAGCTATCTTTATTTTAGATTACTTTTTTAAAGAGTGGTTTATAGTATGAATTCTCTTCAGTTGGTAGCTGTCTCTCCAAGTCTCATAACAAGATTTGGATAATTTTCAGTTTTTGTCAGTGAGGCAGTAATACAAAAACTTTTTTGTAAATGTCTGGGAGTGTGGATAGTCTGGGGTTTATGAGAGTAATTAAAACCACACTGGTGAGCAAGAAAACGGCTTCCTTCAACAAAACTTAAAGAACAGCAGTTTCCCAAATCATGTTCTGTTGACTTCACAGAGTTGGCTTCTAACATAATCTGAGAATGATTCCAGTAGGTCAGACTAAAGGCTCATGTCTGCCAGTGATCCATTTGTGGATGCCTAAGAAGAAAGTAAGGACAGGACAAACGTGCAGTGATAATTCCTTCAGTACGACCCTCCTAGCTGTCTTGCAGTTAAGGGCCAGCTGAGGCAGATGGTATCTTCCGTGTCTCCCCTGTCACCCTGTTTTTCTACAGCTTTATCTGGTTGGTTTTTGAACCCGCATAAATGCAAAGCCTGTTGTAGTGGAAACAATCTCCATTTGATATCAAAGGTATTATAACTTTGCCTCAAATTTAGAGGAGTTTAAGATAGGCTGGGCATAGTTATTCTTCGGAGACAAGAGACACCCAAAGGAAGTATTAAAATAACAGTAAGCTCATAGAATCATTTAGGTTGGAAGACCTTTAAGATCGTCGAGTCCAACCATTAACCTAGCACTGCCAAGTCCACCACTAAACCATGTCCCTATGCACCACATCTACACATCTTTTAAATACCTTCAGGGATGGCGACTCAACCACTTCCCTGGGCAGCCTGTTCCAATGCTTGACAACCCCTTTGGTGAAGAAATTTTTCCTAATATCCAATCTAAACCTCCCCTGGCACAACTTGAGGCCACTTCCTCTCATTCTGTCACTTGTTACTTGGGAAAAGAGATGGACACCCACCTTGCTACGACCTCCTTCCCGGTAGTTGTAGAGGGCAATAAGGTCTCCCCTCAGCCTCCTTTTCTCCAGGCTAAACAACCCCGCTTCCCTCAGCTGCTCCTCACAGGACTTGTTCTCTGGACCCTTCACCGGCTTTGTTGCCCTTCTTTGGACATGCTCCAGCACCTCAATGTCTTTCTTGTAGTGAGGGGCCCAAAACTGGACACGGTGTTCAAGGTGCGGCCTCACCAGCGCCGAGTGCAGGGGGACAATCACCTCCCTTGCTCCTGCTGGCCACAGCATTCCTGATACAAGCCAGGATGCTGTTGGCCTTCTTGGCCACCTGGGCACACTGCTGGCTCATGTTCAGCCGGCTATCTACTAACACCCCCAGGTCCTTTCCAGCCAGGCAGCTTTCCAACCACTCTTCCCCAAGCCTGTAGCGTTGCATGGGGTTGTTGTGACCCAAGTGCAGGACCTGCCACTTGGCCTTGTTGAACCTCATACAGTTGGCCTCGGCCCATCGGTCCAGCCTGTCTGGATCCCCCTGGACCTGAAACGTTAAATGTGTTTTTGTCTTAATAAAGAGTGTTACAGTTTGGTTACCCTGAGATGTTTTTATTCATGATTCAGAGCTCAGTAAATGATGGAGGTACAATAGCGTATTACCCAACTATAACATGGCAAAATATATTCCACCCCCGGTTTCATTTCCTGTTCAGTTATGATGGGGATAAACTTATTTAAGTGCAGAGACAAATAACTAATGTGACTGAATAGTCACACCCATAAGCATTAGAGGCTTTTTGCTAAGAAGTAAAAAACATGAATGCTTTATTATTTCCATCTTTAGAGCCTACACATATGCTGTAAATTAGATTTGGGCAAAATCAATACAATAGTTGTAGGACAGATGCTTTCCAATATTCTGAAGAGCAAGTTAGTGATCTTTGTATTGAAGTGTAATGCCTGATAAGAGACTTAATGCAGTTTCCTAGGCAACAATCTAACGTGGCAGTAACTTACTTTCAAGGTGTTATCCTTTCATGATTAACCACATTGCATGCTCTCTGCAGCTGGCATCAATGTTCTGGGAACTTGGACACGCAAATTCGGAATCTCTTTTTTAGTACTTCCAGTGAAGATGCTTGAAAATACTTTGCTAGCAGTAAATATGAGGGTACGCGTTAGTTCATGAGACTGTGGCTATATTCTGGAAAAAATAAAGCAGATTAAGGAGTGTTTGAGTGTTATATCTTTCAGTATTTAAAACTACTGCTTGTTCTGTGATTAAAAGAGATTATGTAAGAGTACATAATTACTCTGTCACAATCTCTTTTCCCAGGTGATAGCATTAATTATTAAAATACTATATATCAGAAATGAAAGAGAATATTAGAATTATGGGCAAATGTGACTGGATGATAGAGTTTCTGGGAAAAGTCTCTACTCGTAGTTTCCTTTTCTAAAAGGAGCGAATGTTATTTTGTCCTCTTGTTATTGTCGAAGTAATGGGAAAGAAAAAGTATAATAAAGGTATATGGAATCTGTTTTAGTTTTAATGTGGTGTTGTATCATGACATTTTTCTGCATATGTTGAACTGTCCATTAGTCTATGATATAGTTACATGGTCATTCACTTTCATACACAACCTTACAAGATCTTGCAAAATATATTTTAGTTATCTGCAAATTAAAGGAAAGATACTTGATGCTTAAAAAAGACCAAACACAGACACACATGTTATATTTAAATATGTACGTATATGTATGTCTGAATATAGACACAAATGTTACACACAAAAAACTCCATTTGTAAATGTGTGTATATATGTAATAGCAGTTTAAAATTCTTCTTACTGTAAAAAGATACCAGTGGGCAAAAACAATTTTGGAAAATAGTTGTAGTACTGTATACTAAGATGTGAAACCAATTTGAAGTGTTTAAATTCTTTCCCAGGTGGCTTCTAGAAGTGATGGAAGAACCTTTAAATTAGACTCTTCAGAATAATTTAAATGCTCTTTCAAATTTATTGTCATAATTAAGCATGCAAGTATGTTGCGTGATTTATTTTAAAGCAGTTGTAAGGACTTGCAATGTGCATTAATTTTTTGAGTGCATTTGGATTAAAGCATTTGGTACAAGAATTGGGAAATATTTGAGTAAGACTTCATTTAGATAAGTGACACCCAAGTTCTTAATTTTTGCTTTTTCTCCTGCTTAATGATTGAAATTTTTGTATGGAAAAGACTTCAATGCACAGTTTAATCAAGATGTAACTCTTCAATAAGTGGTTTTAATGATGTATGGAGAAATGCTTTCCTCAACACCATGAAAACGAAGAACTGTTTTAGTATGAGCTACCATGGATATACAGCATGTAGAAAAATACTGGATCTTCAGGTTTTAGTGACTGACTGATTTTTATTCTTTTTTATTTTTATTAATTTCCTTTAAATGTT